GAGAAGCTCCCACTAGAACACTTGTTAGTAATGATATTGACAGCTCATTAGGTGCAGCAACTATTCTGCTTTATTGTACCATTTAAGTTAATCCTTACACTATTAGCATTCTCATTTTATAGAGGAGGGAAAAAGAGATACAGAGAGGTTTGCTAACTTGCCCAAGGTTGTACAGCTCATAAGTGATGGAGCCAGGATCATGCCTATACTCTCAATCATGAGGCCAGTATACATTTGAAGCTAAAAATTGCCTCTGAATTCAGATTTGATTGAATTCTCGTGTATTTATAAATGATTGTATATAACTGGAATTTTTTCTTTGCCTCAATAGTTAAGGTGGGTTTAAAAAAAATTTTATTTCTTTAAGAGGCAGGGTCTTGCTGTGTTGCCCAGGCTGGAGTGCAGTGCCTATTCACAGGTGTGACCATAGTACCACTCTGCAGCTTCAAATTCCTGGGCTCAAGTGATCCTCCTGCCCCAGCTTCCTGAGCAGCTGGAATTGTAGACATGCACCACCACGCCCAGCTCAAGGGAGTATTTTTAAATGTCTAAGTGTTAGGTTTTTGTTTGTTTAGCCTATTTTAAAATTTTTAAATTGTGTTTGTATGAGGAAATGTGGTTTCTTTGTGCTTCTTGGAATTTTTGAGATTTTTCTTCGTGGCCTAATATAAGGTCAGTTGTTTTTGTTTAAATCTTCATTGTGGTATTCATTTTATTCTTTCTCTGTACCTCTGTCTTTTCTTTAGAGTGGCTCAATCATTGAGGTTAGGCATTGTCTGTATTGATCTATAAGGCAACTGCCTGGTAGAAATAGTTAATAAGTAGGCTGCATAAATTAATATTGATCCTCGCAGATTTGAAGAATGTTATATATGTAAAAAAGCCAGGCCAGGTGCCGTGGCGCATGTTTGTAATTCCAGCACTTTGGGAAGCTGAGGAGGGCAGATTGCTTTAACCCAGGAGTTCCAAGACCAGCCAGGATATGGTGAAAACTGTCTCTACAAAAAAAACACAAAAATGAAAAAAACAGCAATTAGCTGGGTGTGGTGGCATGCCCCTGTAGTCCCAGCTACTCTGGAGGCTGAGGTGTGAGGATCAGTTTAGCCCAGGAGGCCAAGATTGCAGTGAGCTGAGATCATGCCACTGCACTGCAGCTTAGGTGACAGAGTGAGACCCTGTCTCAAAAAAGAGAAAGGAAAAGGTAGAATAGAGACCAGACCATTTCCTTTCCTTTGATCCCTCCAAATACCACTATTTCTGATCATACCACACTTCTTTCAACCTCAAAAGCATAGATTTCAATAGTCATAATCTTTGGTTTGACACATTCTCATCATTGGTCCACCCTTTATTAAAATGTATACATTATAAGCATTTTTTTTTTTTTTTTAATACGGAGTCATGCTCTGCTGCCCAGGCTGGAGTGCAGTGGCACGATCTCGGCTCACTGCAACCTCCACCTCCTGGTTCAAGTGATTCTCCTGTCTCAGCCTTCCAAGTAGCTGGGATTATAGGTGCATACCACCATGCCTGGCTATTTTTTGTATTTTTAGTAGAGATGGTAATTTGCCAATATGGCAACTTTGCCATATTGGCCAGGCTGGTCTCAAATTCCTGACCTCAAGTGATCCGCCCACCTCGGCCTCCCCAAGTGTTGGGATTAGAGGCATGAGCCACTGCGCCTGGCCCATTATAAGCATTTTTGAAAACCATCTCAAACAAAAACTGAAACTTTGACAATAATATACATCTAACCATGTGGTTCCCACTTTCCCACCCCTTTTGCTTCACACCATCTGAGCATTTGAAACTTATGTTTATTATTCCCTTGCTTTCCTTTTATGCAGTTTTATGCGTCTGCATGTATTTTTTTTAAACTAAAAAAGGTTTTGTGTTACATGTAATCTTTTAGAGTTTATTCTTTTCATTTCTTATTTCAATTTTGGTGGACTGTTGATTTTAGGAAAATTTTTCAAAGGTCCTGTGATTTTTCTTTTTATTCATCCTTGCAAAGGAGATTCATGCTTGCCCAGGGTTGACATACAAGCTAGTGATTTGGGAATCTGTATGAAATTTTACAGCAATTCCTGGTCAGAATCAAAGGCAGAACAGAAAGTTCTGCCATTGTGGGGACCCAGCAGGCTGTGAGGACTGAGTAAGGTGCTGTCCTGGTGTTCCTCAATGGACCTTCGTAATCTCCAATTAAACATTTCTCTCCACCACCACATCCAACACTGGCCACTGGGTGTGGCAGCTCCCATCAGAGCAAGTTGTGGTTGTGTTACTGTGATGCCTGTTCCTGGAAAGAGGCACAGAGGCAGCGAGCATTCCTGTGGCCCCTCAGCTGACCCTGTTACTCCTTTCTCAGATTAGAACACCCTTCAGGGATCTAGAAAAATTCTTTATGCAGATAGAAACAATCATAGTAACAGGCCATTCTACCTATTGGATAGCGCTGTTTCTTCATAAGTTATAAACCTGAGACTAACACTAATCTGTTTCCTAACTTGTGTTTTAACTCATACCCTGATTCTAACTGCCATGGTCTTTTCTGTAGAATGTGTTCTAATCCCTACGTCCTAATTTATACCCCAACTTCCATTCAAATCTTTCCCTTTTTCAATTTCATGGACTCTTTCCCCTGAACCTCCAATATTTGTTACTGCTCTCAGCCCCTTTCCTTCCTCCCATTCCCACCAAATGCCAACATGAACTGTTACTTGGTTAGCACTTACTGTAAGCTCATTATGTATCATCTCATCTAGCTGATATCCTACTCTATGAGATGGTAATGTTTTTCCATTTTATAGATAAGAAAACTGAGGCTCAATGAGATGAATTTGGCCAAGGTCCATATCTCTGGTGAAGGATTTGAAGCTTTTTTTTTTTTTTTTTTTTTTTTTT